AACCTCCGTTATACTCTGGGGGCTTTTCATGGCCAGAATAGCTTTAGTCTTCTCTGGGTCAATACTGACTCCCTGCGATGAGACAACGTGTCCGAGGAAAATCACACTTTCTACTCCAAACTTACATTTGTTTTGTTTAACGTGATACCATTGTCTGAGAGTCTCTTTAGTACCAGTTTGATTCTGCTGTCATGTTCTACTTCTGTCTTCCATATTATCAAGATATCATCCGCTTGATTCACTACGCCTGGGATATCAGAAAGCATTTGACTCAGTCGGAATTGGAAAACCTCCGGTCCAGAACAGATTCCAAACGGAAGTCTCTTGAAGAAATATCGCCCGAATGGTGTAATGAACGAGGTGAGTTTAAATGAATCACTGTGAAGTGGAACCTGCCAGAATCCATTGGCAGCATCCAACTTAGTGAAAAGCTTACCTCCTTCCAACTTAGCTAGAGGCTCATCCGCTAATGGAAGCCGCAACAATTCTCTTTTCACGTGTTTTGGTTCAATTTTGTGTAATCAACACAGAGTCTAATTCTACCATCACTCCTTGGAACCACTACTACGGGAGAACACCAGTCAGTAGGTTCAGTTACTGGTTCTATTACACCATCAGCAAGCATCCTGTCCAATTCATATTTAACCTGTTTGTGGAGTGAGAAAGCCACCCTCCTCGGTGACATAACAGCATAAGGTTTTGCATCTTCGTGCAGCCTAATCTTGTATGGATGATTCATTTTACCCATGCCCTCAAACACTTTTGGATATTGACTCTGGAGTGATTCACCATCTACAAGATTAACGTTAAACGTAAGTAACTCCAGTTTCAACAATGCATTTCTACTCATTAGAGGTGTATTTTGGGACGGCAAGACATATATGTCTTCTAATATTTGCGTATTGCCATACATAATTTCAGCTGAACAGACACCCACAACAGTCAATTTAGTCTGGCCCGGCCCAAAAAGAAATTTATGGGTTGGACGGATTACAAGTTTGAGGTCAAGTGCAAGTGTACTTCCCATAACAGAAACGTCTGCCCCAGCGTCCATCTTAAACTCTACTGGTTGACTATTTACCTTTACCACTACACTCGTACATTTACCCTGCTTATAGTTTACTTCACCTAAATATCCTTTTTTTGAATGAATCGAATCGTCTGAGTCAACTTCCTTAATCTATTTTACCTCCTTTGGTTTGTTTGGACAACAGTTTGGAAAGTGACCACGAAATTTGCGTTTGGAACACTTTTCTCCAAAAGCAGGACATTCCCGAGGGCCATGAGTTGTTCCACAGCGACGACAGGAAAATGTTTTAGTAGTTTGAACCACACGTTTATTGTTATCAAAAGGTTTTGAACTTACCCAAAATACATCTTCCCTGGATGGTTTATCTCTAATTACAGCTTGCTGTTTAGACATTGCTTCTGCTTGACGTACTCTCGTAGTTGCCTTATGAAGGGTCAATGACTCGTCTAATTGTAGAGACTCTGATAGGTTTTGGTTATGAACACCAATAACAATTAAGTCTCGTACCTAACTGTCCTTAAGCTGTCCAAACTCGCAACTTTCCGCGAGTTTATGCAAGTCATTGACAAAAGCATCCACCGGTTCACCTGCACTTTGCCTACGTTTTAGAAATTTAGCTCTTTCGTAGACCAAATTTCTTTTAAGGCCTAAGTAGGTACCTCGCAAAGGCATTTACTACCTCCTCATAAGTTAACTCTTTTTCTTCGCCTAGTCCAAATGTTTCAAAAAGACCTTCACCTTTCTGCCCTAAGGTATATAAAAGGGTGCTTATTTGCTGGTGGTCCGGTTTTAACTCTGATGCCTGCCTGTAACGTTCAAATCGCTTAATCCATACAGGCCACATAGCTGGGTTGGTAAAATCAAATATTTCAGGAGCACTTAGTGGTGCCTGTAGACCTATCATTATTGGCGCTGGCTTTGATTGGGTACTAATCATTTTCATAGATTTATTAGAGCCTATTTGAAACTTACTTCTATGTCGTGGACCAACTGTCTCATCTCCAGAATCTTCAGTTGTAAACTCGTCCTCTTCCTTTTTTGACATTCTAGAAGATTTTTGTTAGGTCTTGGCATGTTTTTAAAGGTTTATTTCACAACCTGACACCATGTAAGATAATATTATATTCTAATAAATGCTGCAAGTAAAGAATGTGTTTATTATTCAACAAGAGTCATCCTCACCACAACAACAAACTAAATTATAAAACATGTGTTAAATGCAAAGGCATATGAATGACACTACATAAACAACCTGCTCAGTGCTCACAGAGCGAAAATTGTATTCTGTTGATTGTAGGGTATGACAAAAAATACCAAATACATTTAATACACCATTAATATTTGAATAGTATATCTTTTTACCGCATTACTGTAATAATTGGCATTTTATATATTTACATAAAACACGCCTGACTTTTAAACCAGTTTGATCAATAACCATCTATACAGAAAAATATTTGTTGAATCACCTGAACGACAATGTAATTAAAAGTCCTTAAAGTCTACAATCTAAATAATCTACCAATATATTAAAATAACTTGCAATATAATAACATAATAATAAACTAATGGTCTTATGACTTCACCTGCTATTGCCAGCCAGATGTTGTCCTCTACTCTTTGGTCTTTGTAGGAAATATTCTTTAAATCATAAAGGGCGGGGTGTTTTGTCTTTTCTTCTATTAATCTATCGTTTGCATCTGCAATAAAACTTAACTTCATCTCAGACGTTGTGCTGCGGATAGCCGACGACACCATAGCGAAAATGAAAAGCTGTCAAAATAGTGTATGAAAACAATCAGAAATGTAACTGTCGCTAAGCGACTGTCGCTCCTGATTGGTCTTGGAGCAGTAGGCCTACCCAGCGACTGCAGCTCGCGGCTCTAGCGACAGTAGCTCCAAGCAAAACAGGACCATGTAAACCCCCTAAGACACAGAAAACATACTGGTTATAGTAGGCCTAATATGTTTTCTGTGCCTAAGATCAGTGTCCCACGGCTGCCGAGTGCCGCTTGGCGACAGTCGCTGCGTGACTGTCGCTCCTGTCGCTCCAATCAAAACGTACCTATATACGGATGCTCCATTTACTACCGTGCATGATACGCTATATTATATGTATTAACTTTTTTTGTTTGGAGCAACAGGCAGTACCTGGTTAAAATCTCTTCCAAACAATATTGTTTTCCTACAGTTACCTAACAATGTACATGTTCTCTCACTGATTTGAGAAAGCAAATTGGCCAATTCGCTCATCAGTGAGACAATGTTAACATTGTCTCACTCTAATTACTTTGTCTCACTCACCCCAGATTTGCAACGTGAAGGCACAAAATAGTGAGCGCGTAACATGCAGACAAGGTCGTATGCGCGCGAAATACGTTGGCAGCACTGGCTGTAAATCAGCTGGTCAGCTGTTGTACTGTTGTATCATTTAATGTAATATTAAAAGTTCACTTCTGTGTAAAAATATGTCACGTTTCTTTACCAAGGTTGTTTTCTAAGAGTGATCGATAAGGTTATTCCACTATATATAAAATATTAATTACCGACTACAATAAATATCAAATATATATTTTAGTAAATTAAAAAAAAGTGTAGAATAAATATAACATTATAGGTAACGTTATCCCTGGTTTTATATAGTATACGGTACATTGCAGAATTTACTGGCAAATGAGTAATCCAAATGTAATATTGCTTACTGGCTTAATCATAAATCACAATCAGCTGTATAGAAGTAATCAAAAATCAGCAGTGAATGGCTTCTAATGTTGTTCTTATGGAGAACATTTTATGTTGTATCTAATTTCGTGCTACAATTTTTGGGACTTCTCTATTTTTCCCACCGTCACGGGATCGAAACCTTTTTGAGCCCTCTCCCGTCATTCTACGACTTCCCAGTCGCCCACAATTTTGACGCAAAGAATCGGCCTACGCAATTAATATATAGATAGAAGATATCACATGGGTCCCAACCCTGATGTCCACATTACTCCCAATGACCAAATATATAACGAATGTGTCCCAACCCTGATGTCCACATTCCCCACAATGACCAAATATATCCCATGTGTCCCAACCCTGTTGTCCACATTCCTTACAATGACCAAATATATTACATGGGTCCCAATTCTGATGTCCACATTACTCCCAATGACTACATATATCCCATGTGTCCCAACCCTGTTGTCCACATTCCTTACAATGACCAAATATATTACATGGGTCCCAATTCTGGTGTCCATATTCCTCCCAATGACCACACATATATATATATATATATATCATGTGTCCCAACCCTGTTGTCCACATTCCTCACAATGACCAAATATATCTCATGGGTCCCAACCCTAATGTCGACATTCCCCCTAATGACCACATATATCCCATTAGTCACATTTCCCATCAAATTATACTCACAAAATCGTCATTTTTCACATAACAGCTTCGGCTTTAAAAAAGTAAACTGGAACCTCGTTTGTTAGGGTGGAAATACATATTTAATTTTAGATATCATACTACAATGATGGACTACAAACAACGATGATTTCTAACTTTAGTTGAAGTCCGTATTTTAATACCTGGAGAATAATGTAAGCCGGAATCTAGTAAGTAATGGGAAATTTTAGAGTGGTTTATTTTTTAGTAGACGTTTATTTTCACTTGGTAAAAGATATCGTTAACAGAATTTGAATATGAACAACAAAAAAACACTGAAAACCATACTGTTGAGTAAAACAACAGATAAGTATATGCCGATGCTTGATGTGAAATCTGTGCGTGCATACCTTCAATTTGAGACCTCGACCATAAAAATCGGTCGGGTAGAAGAGCGAAACGAACTCGGAAAAGAAAAATCAAATTTGTTTAATATATCAGAAGTATTGATTGTATCAGTGGAGTAGTGGGGAGATTAAATTTAGTCCCATATACATTTTAAACATTAATGAGATCACTTTATTTGTTTCAGGAAAGAGATTTAGTTTTTCCTCGTTATACAACCGGTGAGTTATTCCATTACGAATTGGTTTTGCATTTATTAGATACATTTTACACGTATTTGACTTCAAGTGTCATACTGTTTCAAAACAAACACTATCTTAAGAAAATATAGCCTAACTTTTGACAAGCTAATTTTACAGTGCCTCCTACTCCTGAGCTGTAAAACTTCAACAAAATTAATTTATTTGTTATTGAACTACTAAGGTTAATTATTTTTTTAGACTCATATTGTTACATTGTTTGAGAGTAATACAATTTTTAGTTGCCACAGAGACCACCCTTAACAGTGCAATGGATAAGAAACCATTAACAAATTCATATTTCAAATTCAAGGCCATACTACATTCCGGGAAACGGAGAACCGGCCACCTCTAGCCCTAAAACACATATAGAGGTTTGGTTACATTAGGTTAGGTCAGGTGTTATAAATATGGCCCCTGAATTTACTACAGTACCAGTGGCCTGAACCCCGACACCCACTAATTCCATTTAGGTCAAATAAATGATTATTGGCAGGACAGTATTCAATTCAGATGTCAATTCGCTTTAGAATGAAATAAGTATTTTTGTGCGTGTGCATGACTCGTTGAATTTATTAAACTGAGTTAAATTTATTTATTAAACTGAGTTAAATTTCTATTATTTTCTCAGATTATATGACTACTGGAATTAGCGCAGAGTATGTGAGCGTTGGAAGTCCGAAAATTGTGTTGAGCTGCTACAACCAATACCGGGAGATAAGACTGCGAACTCCAATAGGACATCAAATAGCATCAATCGATGGTATTAGTTGTTCTGAAGCATTGAAACAAACACTCACCATTATGGCGCTAAAAAAAGACTTATCTGCTAGGGAGATTTTTCATATCGGTGAAAGAAGAAAGCATCGTGATTTCTCTTGGATGTACAATAAGGACGATTTCAGAACGGTTGTGTTTACTAAATTAAATTCTCCGTCAAAGAACTCTTACTGGAAAAGGGTGAGTTTTAAGTAGTTGGAAAACGTCATTAGAAGTTTAGCGATACTGTAAAACAATGAGTAAATCCTTAATGTATATATTTTGTGTAATTTATGTACAATTGTAACTAAGTAAACCCACTGTCTAATGTTAAACGATTTTGGAACCAAACGCATAACGAGTTTAATGTATATACGAAGACTGTAGAGGAAATGTATAAACTTGTTTATGGCTTAGTTTAAAAAATAGTCTTTAAAATGTTAAACTCGTTTTCCTTAAGTTATCCTTCAATTAACGGCTTGGCTCTAAGCTGAGGTCAGATTTGTGTGGGTGCAGAATGAAATTAGAAATCAGTAGAAGATTTTATTTCTATGAAATCCTTATGTTTGAATAAAACTTTGCAATTGCTTACAACTAAGCATGTCAGAAATGCATTTCTGCCTCTAAAACTTATTCACAAAAAGTGTTAGCCCAATAAAATGTCTGGGCGTCAGCTAGGGGGACCTGGAAATTTGGGCGGGAAAAGGTTTTTTGACTGATTCTGACTCAGTTTTTTGCACTGATTGCGAATATGCCGAGTGGTATATAATAACATTGACGCCCTTGGACAAACACCGCCATATTTGAAAAATGGCGGTCAAAACTGGGTTTTCAATAAATACTTGAAACCGGTTAGTTTTAGAGATATTTATGTAGAGAGATAAAATATAGAGCGTCAAAATCTACACAGAAATGATGTCAACACAATTTTTTTTTAAACTCACGGTTTTAACAATTTAAGTTATTATTAATATATAGTTGTAATTTCGTGTCAATACCTATGACATAATAAATTCATTCTAAAAAAAAGAGTTATATTATGCAATATACATTTGTGCAAGTAACCTTTGTTAAAAATAATTGTTATTAGTGCCTTCAAAGACCGCCCACCCCCACATCACACTCGCCACTAACCAATTGCACTGCGCATTCTCGTATTGCCCAAATCTGCAAGTACAGCGAGAATCTCCCGGTTTATTTTAAGCAACTATTAAAGAACTTATTGGTGTGATAAAAAAAAGAAAAATGCTGGTACAGTTACGGATTTATATTTAAGTTATGTAAATAATGAAGTTATCTATAATATTGAAACGAAAGTGTGTTTTTTTATTTCACGATTCTGAATCAACCACTCGACGGATTTTCATGATTTTTGTGTTGAAAGAAAGATCATTTTGAGAACTAGGGAATGTCGAAGCCATAATTTTAGTTTAGGGTCCCAGTTTTTTAGAAATTGTGTTTTAATTTTTAAAAAGTCTAGCAGCCGACGCTAAGATTTTAAACTAGCTTTTGGCATAACATAATTTGTTTAACATAACAGCTGTAAAAATTCAGCTTTTGTGTCACAATTTCGGCATTTGGATAAAAATGTAAAGACATACTTAGGGTTGACTTATTTATACTATGTGTAATGCTAATCATTGATACGTTTAATTCTTCTGTAAGAGGATAACAGATTAATTAAATATACATAGTAGGATGTTCGAATTATTTTTAAAGCAATCTTTGTAATCTTCGATTTGTTTTAGAGCAATATAATTTGTTTTAACTAACAGCTGATTAAATTATAAACTATGGAACTATGAGGGATAATTAGACCACAGTTTAAAATAGTTTACACCAAAATTAATTAAACCACAGTACACATCGAGGCTTACACGAGTCTTAAATAAAAAAAGGTAAATGCAAATTATTTTACTGCTCCACTTTTCAAGGAAAGATTAGAAAAATAACAATGTTTACATGTTTTAATTCTTCATGGTAGCTTTTTGTTTACAATTATGTTTGTCTGCTTAACATTGTTTGGATTAGGCCCGCAAATATTGATGTCACAAAAAGAAGATCAAGAATAATCAGGAATCACGATTTTAAATTACCACCTCAACCTTAGCCGGGTTTTATACAAAGATGGATGACATAGATTGAACACAACGTCAACATTGACCTAGGATACTGCAATTAGACAAACCATCCTTTTATGAAATCGTGAAATCGTTCAGTTGTGGTTACGTTTGGGGGTGCCTATATCAGCGCCCCCAAACGTGAAAATATCGCTTTTATTTTAACTATGATTATATTGCAGTTTAAATTAACTAATATGGGAAAGTACGATGTACATTTATTCAATGAGGGTGGGTAATTATCAAGGATAGAACTGATAACGGTATGGATAATAAACATTGACAATTACATCATTAGCTTTACTAGCGTGTTTACTTTTTATATTACAGATACATGTGACCAGTTTTGATTCAAATGAATGTTATTTGAACCAAACAGCTGTCCAAAACAAACTGTTATTGTTTTTACTTTTATTTGTTTACACTTATTTATTTAGCAATTAATGCAGTGAAATTGAGGATATCAATATCAGTATATCAATTATATAAGATGGGGACGCCACTATGTGCGTATTTTAACCCAAATATGAGTGAAGGATGAGTGTAGGATGAGTGGCGCGATCTTGTAGTCTTGTTAGTGACTAAGGCCGACATGTTCCTTAGACACAGCTGTTAATTAATAGCCCATACAGCTAATGGCAACTAAGGGACCTACAGTTTATAGTGGAATCCGAACCACATTTTTCCTTGTAATTTACGAATTGGTCTAATTATCAGGATAGTACTGCGGATAGTCGTAGTACTCACTAGTGCGGACGTTAATCCACACCAGGGAGCATCGCATCCACAGTGCATCCCTATAAATATCCACAATTCGTGACCTCCTAGTAGCTGGATTACAGGACGACGCCACCCGTCCCAGTCTGATGAATATTTGATCGGTAGTTGATCTACCTCTTGTGAAGCCTGCTTGATGTTCACCTATTATATTTGATGTATACTCCTCCAATCTTTTTTGTAAAATCTTTGATAGTATTTTGTAGGTGCAGTTGAGGAGAGAAATACCTCTGTAGTTGGTGCACTTGTAAATAATTAAGCTTGATAGGTGTACGATTAGTTTTGATGTTAGGACACCAAAGTTAAATTATGTGTACTGTGAATTTTATTGGATATTATCGTTTTATTTTAGGTCGTTTATATTCAGACCTACTGGAAATTGTGTATAGTAGTTGTATTGTGGTGATAATAATTAATAAAGAGGCAGTTATGCTATGGAAGGTAGTATGGTAGTATCGTTGACTAGGTCTATAGACTTCTCAATTGACTATTACCATAGATCAAACATATTACCCTATTACTCTCTCTACTGTAGCACAGAAAACATACTACTATTCTGTGACTAGACTAGGCTACTTATAATCAGTGTGCGTTTGTGCGAATCGGCTGCCTCACTTAAACGCTTTTCACATCGTAAAAATTGCAGAATTGCTGTTTTATTGTAAAATTATCGGATTTAAAATGTATATCGTATAGGCCGTATCAGATATATATTGTGATGGAATAAAAACATATTTGGTCACACAACATTTGTTTACAAGATGATTTTTCACATTAAAACTGCAAGAAACTTTGTCTTTATGTGTAAACTAGCTGATCTGAATTGTACACGGTTTTAACTGACTACTGAATTCCCGTACGTAGGACGGGCTAACACCTCGTTACATATAACTGGGAAACCATGTAAATACTGTCAAAGACCTAATTTCATTGTAAGGAATTTCTTCTTCCGGAAGCAGCCCATTTTTTAAATATAGTTTGGTGGTTCAGATGCTCTTTGCCATAGTATTTACAAAATATTTTGCAAGGCAATTTCCCAGCTTGCAGATTTTTGCATTGGAGGTTTTTTGGGACCATTATATCTATAGATGTTTACAGGGTTGCTTAGAGTGTCCTTCATACGTTTATTACTTATCTTTGGTATATCTAGATTGGCATTAGAGTTGTCGCTTGAGGTTTCAACTTGAGTTATAAGTAGAGCCATGCTGTGGGTTTGGCGTAAGCAATTCTGTGTAGATAAAGATGTATCGAAATTGTCACCTACAGCTTGTACAAGTCCATCTTTGCAGTCTCTTAAGCCTCTTAACATTGGTTTTTTACTAGCTGCAGCAGCCGCTGATGCTTTAAGCCGCCGAGCCTCACTGTATACCAAATTTGTGTAGTTTATTTATTTAGTACCTGGGGACCGAGCTTTGCTCGGGGAAAATCATTAGTTTACTCTGAAAGCAGTCTTAGTATTGCAGATACATAAATCCATTCCCAAACTCCACACTGCTCGCCTTGACTACTTCCTTCACCACTTCATACGTTGCAGACCTGTTTCCCTCCCTTCCTATACCATTTTAGTATTGCAGATACCCTAATCTTATCGTTATAAACAGTTACCACACTCCGGACAGCTTGCCTTTACTACTTCCTTCATCACTTCCTACGTCACGGACCTGTTTCCCTCCCTTCCCATTGTATTTTAGGATTGCAGATACCCTAATCTTATTGTCATAAACAGTTCCCACACTCCGGACAGCTTGCCTTTACTACTTCCTTCATCACTTCCTACGTCACGATCCTTGCAACAGTTACAACATTGTGAAAAAAAGTAACATTAACAAGAAACAGTGTAAATAATTAACATCAATAACAATAACAAGAAACAGTGTAAATAATTAACATCAATAACAATAACAAGACCAAGTGTGAATAATAAACATCGATGTCAATAACAAGAAACAGTGTAAATAATTACCTACAATAACAATAAGTGTGAATAATTAACATCAATAACAATCAGTAATCATCAAAATGACAACATTGTGAATAATTAACATTAGTAAATTTACTATACATAACAATAATAGACTATGGCAATAGATAACAATATAATAAACTGTGAAAAAGCTAACGTAACATAAAAACAAAACTATATAACAAAAGGATGGATCTGGAGGGAGAAAAACCTTTTGATAGAATGCTGACAACAAGAAATTTCATCACTTAACACTGTTGAGCGTGTGGCCCTCTAAAGGCACCACCAAGGAACTCCAAGAGCACAAATCCCATCACTTGACACGAATCAGCACTTCCCGGCACCCAGCATGTGGCCCTTTAGAGGCACCACCAAATAACCAACACTGATAGAGAGCGGAGAGGTGTCAGTAGAGCAGCCTCTGGACATCACGTCTGAAGGATGCTAGTGATGGCACAAAGAAATCCAAGTGTGGTTAATTGATCAGTTTCTTCTTATTTAGCAGTAATGATAATGCCATTTGAAGTGTGGTGTTTTGTTTAGTCAATATAGAAGTAGAACTGTTACCTATCATCAAGGAAGGTAGACCAGTGAGTTATACCATAGATAAAACATACTCCCTTATTAGTCTATGGTTATACTAAACTCTTTTAAAAATGACGACAATGTCTTGCTCATATTAGATTCAAGATTCAAGGCTATCATAATTTAATTTGGTTTCATAGCTGTCTCTGTTAACTGTGCGTGATGCAGTTTCTATTTTCTATTTTCTATTTTCTATTTCTATATTCTATTTCTAGTTTCTATTTCTAGTTTCTATTTTTAGTTTCTATTTCTATTTTCTTCACTACGTTTCCAAAACTACATTCTTCATCTTCATCCGATAATGTCAGTTTCATCGCAAATGGCATTTAACTTTTAAAAGCAACGATGTTAGCATTTCCGGGAGAAGATAATACAATCAAGCTAGGTCCAACTATGCCTGTATTTTTTACTAGAGTTTTATGTGTTATGTTTGACAAACTGGGATTTTTAAAACTCAAACAGATATATTGAGTTCCAAATGCATGATGCGGGTCTTCTTTCAACATATCAATAATTGATTTCAAAATATACGAAATATATATTAATATATATTCGTATATTGATGCTACAGCTGTCTCAGTAGGCCTGCACTGCGGTGTTGCCATTTTTGTCTCGCAGCATCCTTGTATTGATGAGGCTATGTTTGCTTAAAGCCTACACCTTTTTTAAACAAGGAAACATTAAATTATTTGCGTTAGTAATAACTGACAGTAATTTTAAACGAACGAATGTATCACAGATGCTTGATCAGACCCAGTATAGATCATAAACATAAACAAATTATGTTACTAGCCCAAAAATAAACATAATTTTATATTGCTTAAATGGAACTGTCTAAACGATATGTTAATGCTATTAGTATAGGATTCGGGCCACACAACGTAATTTGTTTATGTGTATTCGATCAATACCAATTCTGCTCAGGTATTTGTGGATATATATAGTCTAAATCTCACGAACATTTATATAAAGTCACATACACTCAAATAAATAACTATAATAATCTAGTAAATTTTATGTTAATGAATCCTGGCGATGCTCTCTTCCTTGTCGATAAAATGCCTTGCATTTCGTTTGGAATTATTTTATTAGGGAGATGAAACAACGAGGAGATTAATGAGTAAAAATATGTTTTATGTGTTACGGTACTTATATTGACAGCCTGTATGTTGAAACGCGATACTGATTCTTCTAAAGGGGTATACTTTTTAAATAATCTCAAGAAAACATAGTACAAAAGGAACTTCAATTTTAATCAGACATAACTATTCAAGACCATTTCTAACAATCAATCAAAAGGAAAACACTAATAATTGCAAAATGTAAACAAATAAAACATCTGATGAAATTAATTAACATATAAATAATCATCTAGAGACAGTCATTTTCAAAATACTCCCACCTTTTGAGTCTTAAGTTTCCATTATTTAAAGACTCAAAACACATATTATCATATTAAAAGTTCAGTCTTTTTGGTAACTTAATTTGGTTTCCTCGTTTTCTAAATTTAACTTTATTTACAACTTTTCCATTTGAACTTTCTTTATCTTGCACTTCTTCTACTTCTTTTTTGTTTGAACTTTCTGAGTTCAAAATTGCTATACTTGATGATACAGACTTTTTAAATTCATATCCAAAAGCGTCTTCATCACATTCACAAATCTTATTATTTTCGGATTCCATCTTGACAGTTACAGGATCCTCTATATTAGGAATGTCTACACTACACTTGTCAGAAATAGGTGTTAACAAAGATGTTATAGTCATTACACTTGATCTACATGTCACTCCTTTTACTTTTCCTTTCCCCATTAACACCCAACCAAGTAAGGTTTCCATTGCAACTAAATCATATGTCAAAACATGACGTTTCCCTGTAAACAACTTTCCACCAATATCAGATCCAATCAAAACTTCAATTGGCCCTTCTACAGTGTCAGAAACATTAAAACCAAAAGACTGTAATTCGTTTATCCAAGGGCCCGCTTTGATTTCTGAAATATTATTACATATCACATCTTGATCTAATACCTCAAAGTTGCAATAGTAATTGTTACCCAAATCACTTAACCTTACTTTATGTCGATTGTGTTCAACAGCATTTGTTACTGATCCACCAAACAATGCATGATTAAGGGTTTCCTTTCCAAATGATACATACCCCATTTCTTCTGCAGTTTTCTTCAAAATGTAGGACCTTTGAGAACCAGAGTCAAAAATGACACGTGCTGCTCGTTCTTTATTACTTCCTCTAATATTCACACGTACAGTTTGTAAAAATACTTCAGAGTGTGCATTATTAGCTAAATTACTTTCACAACGTACTAAAGTGTTATCATTAACATAATTTACATTAGATTTATCTTGAGACTTGTTACACATTACTGTTGCATGTCGACCATTGCAAAGAGAACAGTTTAGTCGAACATGACACTTCTTACTAACATGGCCATACTTTGTGCAACGATAACAACATCTGTTACTTGACAATAGGTTTACCGTTTCTAAATGTGTCAGATTACTACAACTCTTACAATTTTCTGTCAAATGTTTTTCACCACAAAAAATACATTTCATAGGGGGTTTACCAACCTTTTGGAGTCCCCAAAACCTGAGGTAGCAAGTGAAATTCTTTCCTCATTTGTCACTTCAATTCGCAGAAACTTCAAAAGCGCATCGAGTCTATTCTTCAAATCAGCTTCTGGATCAAAGTCGGGATGACGTTGCCACGCCCTTAAAAGATCCTCTGGCAAACACGACTCAACTAATGGGTAAAGAATAGCCGCACATTTATCAGTAGTTACTCCTAATGTGTCAAGAGCTCTGATTTGACATTCTAATTTGTCAAATAAAGTCGAAATCACTACCTTTTGTCTCAAGTTATTGAGTAGCAGCTTTAAAAGTTCTCGAACATAGACTTCTATCAAAAGATCATCCCTTCCAAAACGACTTTTTAAACTCTGAATAGCATCTCTATAATTCTCTGATGTAGCAGGATAGCTATCTACAATTTGTCTCGCTTTAGAATTTGGAATAGTGGCCTGAACTAAATAGTGGAACTTATCAACATCATCAATAGAGGGATCTTCATCTATCCTCTTAAAAATTCCCCAAAAAGGAAGCCATTCTTTAAGATTCCCACTAAATTGTACTAGTTCAATCTTGGGAAGTCTAAGCTTAGTCTTTAGATTTGAACTTCCACTCTTAGCTGAATTACTACTGACCAAATCGTAATCTCTAGAATCATTCAACTTACTTTGTACCAAAACATTTACTTGATTGTAGGTTTCCAAATAACTATAAGCTTTAGACACTTCTTCTTCAAGAATTGCTTCACTTTCCTCAAATTGAAATAAATGGTCAGATATCTTTGTGTCTAAATTCTTTAACTCTTCATAAATCATACTTACAGTTTGAAGCCTACCTTTTAATTCATCTAAGTGAACCGTTTCCTGTGTAAGTTCATCCTTTAAATGGTTCACTAGTCTTGAAAAGTTTGCCCTAACAACAGTTCTATGTTTCTTGTTCTTATTAAATTCTCTAACATCAGTTTCACTCATCATACTATCCTGTCACGGTCGCCAAATGTTAAAACGCGATACTGATTCTTCTAAAAGGGGTATACTTTTTAAATAATCTCAAGAAAACATAGTACAAAAAGAACTTCAATTTTAATCAGACATAACTATTCAAGACCAACTCTAACAATCAATCAAAAGGAAAACACTAATAATTGCAAAATGGAAACAAATAAAACATCTGATGAATTAAATTAACATATAAATAATCATCTAGAGACAGTCATTTTCAACACTGTATAAGACCCATTTTGTGTGCAAAGCACATGACCTATAATTTTTTAATAAAATATTAGCATTTGTTAAAAAATATGAATCTAGCACAGTTTTATTACTGCCATACCCCTACTCTTAATACCTTGTAAATAAAATTAGTTCAGGATTACATAGTAAACGATACTTAACTAAACGATCACCAGGTAACCGATGTACACATATCAAAACCTGATGCCTGATACCTTATTTATTGACAAAGGGCACAAAATAATTAAAATGCAAAATGTTTCTAAATTTAATGCATTTGTTTTAGATCCCTAACGAGACTCCTAATACCTGCCCATTTCTAAAAGGTAAGTTGGAAAGAAAAATATTAAGTGTGTGTTGTTTTTAATATATGTATACAATTTTACTAGGCTGTATGTTCTTAACCTTTCCATGGTGAATGCGGTTTGATGGAGACAAAAATAAATATCTAACGTATAATGGTAAAATGGATATCAAGAGGTTCCAAAATGATGACGTAACGGACTGCCACGCCTGTCTCTGTTTAGTAGGGGAAGAGGGATCTTTTCAACTTGTAAGCCTTCGTCACCGACGATTTGCGAGCTATTCAGTCTGTACTGTCTTTAAATAGACAACTAGTTTTAATATGTATCAGCTGACGTATTTGTTTGTTTTTGTTAGGAGTGTTTGGAATTGGTATTAAAACAGGCTTTATGTAATGTTGGTTTTATTTTATCTTTAAATAACTTACAATGGCGACGAGGATGAGGAAGAACGGTCGTAGACACCAGGAACTAGAGGAGGAACGTACAGTGATACCGAATAAACCTATGTTTTGTTCTAATTTTGATAAATTTTATGAAGACAATGAGACCTGGCGCACATAATTGGTAAGAATAGACAATTTATTTGACTTAAATGTGATCAAATCAGAAGTAAAGAAAAAGCAGTATCTGATAATTTTTTTAACACCTTAAGTATTCCAAGATCTAAGGATTAGCCTAAGCCCATCTAATGCAGAAGATAAAAGTTATAATGGATTGTGTGAAATTTTACAAATATTACTTAAGCCTAAGGGTAGTATTATCGTGGAGCAACACAAGTTTTCTAAACAAGTCCAGAAACCTTGGGAATCCGTTGGTAGTTTTGCCAAAGACCTAATAAACTTAGCGAGCAAATGTGATTGCAAATGACCAAAATGTTACACGTCGACAACTGACGTCCACTTGCGTCAGCGGTTTATTTCAGGACTTTATGATGGAAAGTTGTTGTCAAAATTAATGGAAATTCATTAAAATAAAGTTTTTTAACCAATGTCTTGAAATAGCTAGTAACTTTGAACAGATCAAAAGTAAAACAGCAAGAATCAGTAAGATGAAGAACTGCGAGTGGCTGGAGGGAACCCAAACGTGTCCGCTTGCATCAACATCCCAATTTGACGGATACAGAGTGGCAGAACTGCTCCGTGGTGATACATCCAATCTCCGACAAATGAACGTTAAATTTTTACATTGTGGTGGCTTACATTTTAAGCAAGAAAAGACTGGATGAGACAGTTAAATTTTTACTCTTTGTTGCCATAAATGAAAGGTTCGTTTACCTCATTTGCAAAATTCATCATACTTTCAGGAACTTATTGTAAACTCCGAATCTGAAAAAAAAAACAGAGCTGTGAGGCTTGGATCCATAAATTATCTGGATAAAATTCGTCAATTCAATTCCGCCTTTGCCATGGTCAGCTCTAAAGCTCATTTTGACGAGAGGGTCACACAGGGGATCTAAAATTTTAAGATCCATGACACGTTTTACCACCGAGTAGGTAATCTAATTCTTCAAGAAGGTCATAATCCTAAATACGCACAGATCTATAAGTTCGACGTTGGAACCCAACAGCGCATGTAAAACAATTCAAACAAAAAATTTAATGAAAAAAATATGCGGGAAATAGGGTTAAACAATGCCAACCCATTTGCCCAATTTTAAAAACTGTGGCAGAAAATTGCAGAGACGAGAGCTGAGAGGAGTTAGATTCTTATGTGCATGGTAAGAGACAAAAAAAGTGACTTCCCTCGCTACAATGATGCTACCTGTATATATGTCGCAGCTATTTTTAAGCTGAAAACAGAGCACCACCTGGTCAAATAAATCTTTTTTTATTTTCAAACACTAATAGTGTTTAACATGAATCCGTTCTAGATGCGTTTAAATCCACTCTTATGTTCCCAACCGGAGACTTTGGTTGGGGCACCTAATTCAAACATGCCTAAAACAGAACATATCGTAGAAATAATTTAACTATGCTTTAGTACGTGTCGTACTGGTTGGCGCCAAGAGAGGGATTTAGTTTGCTACGTTAGGTCAGAAAAGCTCACTTTACAGTGTGTGGTTGACATCTAAGTTCTTATAGAAGGCACCCGCCTACAGTACATAAGAGATAACAAAAGCAGTATGAGAACGGATCTCTATTTAAATATTATTGTACCGTAGATTGATTTTATAATTTTGTACAACATAATATTTTTCATATTTCTATAATCAGTCACAGGAATTACTTTAGAGTGACTCTATGATTGAGGTTTTTCTGAATATGTTTTTTCTTCTTCATTATTTTATTACAAGTTGCATTTTTGCTCGATTTCGAGCAACAGGTTATCTAGTTGGTATTAAAACAGGGTTTTATGTAATATTGTTTTTTATCATTAAATAACTTACACAATCCAATATAAACCTGATGGTTTTAGATGTTTGAAATCAGTCCAATTTTTTCACGTTATGTAATATGTGACACACAAACAACCTTTTTTTTCGTTTAGAATATTATGAGATTTTTCTTGCATTTAAATTTGTATATATATATATGTACAAACAGAATATGATACAATATGTTTAATCTTCCCTTTAAAAAAGCTTAATTATTATATTTGAATCTATAAAACTGGAAATATTTAGTCACTACGTCACTATGTACAAAAGTTGTTTTCTCTTATTAAACCTAGTTACATATTACGTTAATTTCAATATCAAACCCAAAGCTTACAATGATGCTGGGTCCAATCAATAGTTGTATTAACAAGCATACCTAGTTCAAGTAAGCATATCTGTGTTTCAAACAATTCCCCTTAAGTGCTACAAATAAGTACAGTAAATTCATTCATTGAGGCAGCGGCGGAGAATCTTGAATGCATATTTTAAACTGTATATGAATCCACAGTGAGTGTAGAATAAAACCCCAGCTGTGTTTCCTTGTAGTTGTAACTTTTAGTTCATGCCATACTTTCGAATCAATGTTACAATTACAAGGAAATTTATGTTAAACACATTATTAGCTTCTTATAACCCAATGATTCTTTTTACAGTTCAAGAAATGGTTTCGGCACATGAAGAATACAAAGTTGGTCTTCATAAAAACACCCTGACATTAGTGGCAGTCTACAGATTACCGTCTAAGTTGGTTCTCGAATGCTACAAAGCTTCAAAACAGGAAGATTCGACATTTTATTCGGTGTTCTCCGATGCAGGAAAAACCCATGCTGTAACTATTAAAATGTTTGATTGTTCGTCAAAAGATAATTTTTTCAAAACATTATTTGTTGAAAGAATCAACTTTGATGAAAATAATTGGGTGACTGTAGTAGGAAGTCGAAGATCGGAAAATGATGAATGGTGTTCTTACAGTATTACACCAAAAAGAATAAGTTATGGGACAACAACACCATTTGATGCTTGGGTCTACTATGACTACAAGCCTAAGGATGGCCATTGGAATGAGGTAAGGACTTAGTTTTTTGGATTAACGGGTTTCAGACCTCGATTAGGTAGTTAATACTTAGTAATATTACACTTGAACACGAGGAAAACTTAAAAAATCTTGCCAGCTTTACTAGTAGATCGAATTTTATGGTGAATATCATCGTTGAAACACCTTGACGTCATTCATCTTGTATGTGTTTAAAGTGTTTCTTAATGGTGCGTTTTTTCAGATTTCTGCAGACAAACTCTACACATCGCTTGAAGGTAAGAATTTTGTTGTTTAATTTAAGTTGACAAAGTTTAATTGAACTGTGAAAACCATCGTTTTGAAAATAAACGGCATGAGTTAACTGACACATAATTTCTCCCATTAGCTCGTCAACAATCCTTATAAAGGGTAATGGGATGGTGTAGCTATGATATTACTAGGGTTGCTTTCAGAGAGCTGAAAGCCAGTTGAGCGGAACAAACGTGATTTGATATTTGTATAAGTAACTAAATGTAAAAAGGTCAATAGATTTATTTACTAATGCTGGTTTTAAAGATTAAAATTATAATAATTCAAATTTACCTCTTCGATAAGTGCATTATGGTAGTTTTGACCAGGAAAATATTACAATAGTTGGAATCTGATATTAACATCCAAAAAGGGCATTAAAGTATAAAAAAGAGGAAGGAGATTTAACATTCAAATTCAACTGTAGCCTACAACGAAAACATTCATTTTTCACCCTTACAATTGGTTAAAGTATTTAAGTATAAAAAACAGTACCTATTAAAAAACGAGTATTGTATGACAACAGGAGAGGAAATGTGACATTTAAATTCAACTGTGCAGCATAAACATCGGTTAAACTCAGCTTTCTGTGCTGAAATTAATTTATGATTGTTAATACCAAGTATTCTTGATGGAGGATATGATTGTAATGTAACTGGAATGTAGGTCTTCTGCCATTATTAGGACGATTTAGCGACGGCATTTTAATACTGGCCTTTATAATACCATTGGCCATTGAATACAGTAGATTTTGATGAAAATGCTGGCTACAAATTCAACATGGGGATAGAATGTCTAGTTGTATTGATAGTCAAAGATAAAACATAGGCCTACGAAAAATGTAGGGCTATTTTAATGTAAGACTCAAATGTAAAACGCCTTTAAAAGACTAAAATAAACTGAATTATCAGTCATGTATTTCAATGTGTAAAAACGTAAAAACTGCAAAAATACTTACTTATTGAATAATAAAATAAGATGGCTGAAATGTAGGCATAAACATCTATACTCTATACTATTATATAAAAATCTAATGGTGTCTGTCTGTATGTGTATTACTAATAGGTGCAAAAACTACTGAACCAACTGGGCCAAAGTGTTACAAAAATATAGCTACCATACCAAGGACCATTATAGGACTATTCACATTTCGATACTGACCGTAGGCTTTGCCCCTTTGGCTTTAAAAGTTCTAAGGTGAACATTTTAAAAGTAAATATTGATTGGTCTCCATGACTGCGATGAGAACACTAACAATGTTTGTTTACATTTGCTTTGACACTTAAATGTAAACAAGAAGAACTGCTAAACACTGAGATAGCTCAGTGCTGCTAAACTGCATATTTTACAATTTCAGACAGCTGATACAAAGAAATTAAATATACTATTTTCCATAACTATGTGGCAGGTTTATTTTAATATAACCTTTTATCATTGATTATTTATTCTAAAACTATGTCAATGATTATAAAAAAAGATTCTATAACCGTGCTGTATTAACTCCTGCTCTGCTTTGGATTTTTTTAAGCGTCTAAGCTATGAAATGATGTTATTGATATGTTTTCATGGAAACAGTATGAAAATTACAATGTATAGATGTTTTGCATGAATTTGGAGGCTACTTTGAATAAATTCTAACTGCTTAATATGTGTTAGATTAACTTAACATAACTTGCACATCACATTGTATTTTATATGCATATTTAGGTAAATTAAGTTATTGTGTTTTGCTAAACCTATGCTTAAATTAAACTAAAGAATATCATCAATAACTAAATTGTATGTCGATTTATGTTTTCTAAAATCTGTTGTATATGTGCAATTATATTTAATTATCAAATAGTAATACAAAATACTCCTATTTTATCTTAACATAGCTTTCAGTTCACATTTACTTTATTTGATACATTTATTATGTGTGTTTTGCCACACCACTGACTAAATTAAACCAAGGAAAATATCATAAAACTAAGCAGTACACAGTGTTCTTTTGTTTCTAAAATCAATGAAATATCTGTTACTATGTTTACTTAATGGTAAGTGTGAAAATGTAAAGGCAATGGACAATGGAACTGATTAAAAGAACTGGTTTTTTATATTAAGTTGTTTGTTGATATTTTTTTAGAGTAGAATCAGAGATGCAATGAAACATATACTGTATTTGCTTTTACATTTTTTAGTCCTTGATGCTTTAATAATCATATTAGTTTTGTCTGCTGTCTTTAATGCTAAATTATTTGTTGAAAATTTTTTATAGTACCTATAGATATTTTTCCTTTAATATTTCAAAAGACTGTACCTATTGATAAGGCACAGCAATATTTCTTAAGTTTATAACAGCTGACATAGTTTTTCTAATGATTTATTGTAAGTGAAGAAACTGAAGATGGAAGAATTTGTGATTTATTATAAGGAAGAGTGAAATTTAATAATTAGTATCTATTTTAGCAACTTAAAAATTGAAATTTAAAATGTCAATAATAAATTAAAAGATATGTAACTAAGGGAGATGAAGGTAAATCATGTATGTCAAAGTTTCATTCGAAGATTTGGTCAGTTTTTCTCATATCAGCCTACACAAGATTTAAAATTAATCAAAACCAAAATGGTGGTATCCACTACTTACCAGATTTAAAAGTCATAACTTAAACGTTTCTATTAAGGCTATAAAAGTTGAATTTTGTTTCTAAAAGTGTTGGCGGATGTGTAACTATTATATGCAACAGATTTAAAGATTAAAAGGTTTATATTTTGTGTCCTCTTCCCGTTGCAAAGCACGGGTACAACAGCTAGTAAGTAATAAGTAAACATCGCATTCAGCTGATTTAAAAGTGAAAACAGAATAATATAAGTATGGAAGACATGCCTTAAATATACAATGTAGATAATATAATTAGAAATTAGTAGCCTACTTCAGGACAGGCCTAGACAATTATCCATACCGTGGTTAAAAGTGTACTTCTATAAGCCCAGATTTACTTATTACGGTTGTAACTGGACTTGTGTATCCTACTTATGTATCCGTTTCCTACCTCCCCACATGCCTAAATTAGATCAGTGTTCAATCTGCGTTTTATCAATAAGTGTAATAACTTACTGTACCGTCGATGTAATTCAACATAATATAACCTATAAGATATTATCGTATTAAATACCGATTTCGATGCGGTTTGATATATCGCTTATTAAATCCTGATTTCTAACATTGGCTGTTTCTAATCAGCTGGCAACACAAATAGGTTCCCAAGAAAGTAGTCACCGGTCCGTATCCCTCCGCTCCTTGTTTATGCTCCGCGTATTGAGAAAGTAGTTCCGTATATTTTCTCGATTTTCAGTGAATTCCGCCCCTTAAAAAAATGTTTTAACGGCATTTTCTTGTTTATTAAAATCATAGGAATGGTTTAAAAACGTTTAAAAGAAAAGTATAGAAAGTCCAGAAATACCTTATGATTCTCTTGTTTATATTTTTCTTGTAAACAAAAAAACTGTCATAGCTACTTTAGTCCCATAAGCCTAATGTTAAAAATTTGAAATTTTAAGTTCGTTTTAAATTGCATTAGCATTATCTAATTGAAATTTGTTTACAAACCATCTCATTATTAGTCTAAGAAGTCTTGTTAAGTTTGGCTGAAATGTGTTCAGCCGTTATTGAGTGATGGTGTTATGTTGTTTGCATTGAAGTTGATCCCAAAGAGCTTCGCTCAATAAAGGTAAAATCACAAAAGTTTCAGTCATTTTATTTAGAGTTCAAATAACCAGGACGCATTTCAATAAAAATCGTTCGACTTCGAAAGTTTTTTTTTTTTTTTTTTTTTTTTTTTCAGAGGACCCAGAACGTACATATCCAACCATAACTCAATCCAAAGAAGTTTTAACGAAAACTATACTTTATCAATATACCCTTTGGGGCAGAAAAAAGTAGAAAATGGAATTTAGGAGTAAAAAGATTCTAAATTAACAATAATTAAGTTAAAACATTAAAAAACTACTATAATTCTTTGGTCATATTTAGTATATGTTTCAAAGACTGTTTATGAACAACTTAGATTAAATTTACAGTAGAGATGACTTCTAATATGTAGGGTGAAAGTATTTCCCGTATAAGCATCTTAATTTGTTTTCAGCGTAATAATCTAACATACACAAACAGACCCCCTCCCCCTTTGATTCTTCAGTAGTAAAGATATACGGTAAATTGGTCTTGGCTTATAAAACATGTCACGCTATTCTAGACAAAACAGAAGAAACATATTTTGACAAATCAAGATAAATAGGCAGGTGTAAAGTATGTAAAACATATCAACTACATATTTGAAACAGTTTCAAAGTAATGTAACAGCAACAGCGGTAATGTGTAACAAATATCAAGCTTTGTATGAAATAAACCTCTACTGTATATATTTCATTGTTATTTTTATAATTATTCTGATCTTAACAAAGTTTAAACAATAGTAATTACGAGGGACAGATGTTTTAAAATACAATGTTTAATGGTGTGCTGGTCTCTTCTTCTGTCTTTATATAAATCATATGATTATATAAAACCTGATGTTGGGGTTTGTTTGTAAACAGAGATTGTTGTAGTTTAATGTTGTATTAGATGGACACAATAAATATGTTACCTATTAACTATCATTGTATTGATCTCGGGAATATCTCATGGTGTCAGACGGGAACTAACCATGCCGAACAGGAAGATCAGAAAGTCACAAAGGTATCAAGCTGATGCAGAAACTGAAGAAAATGAAATTTCAGGTAACCAGCAAAGTTCTACTTCAGTGACTCACAAATCTGACATGGTTCCTCATGGCAGGTACATTTATGTACCACCACCTTTTGATCGTTTTTTTGGAAACCAGGAGTCTGATTGGACATCCTGGATAAGGAAATTCGAACGGTATAGGGTCACTTCACTTTTAAACCATGAACCTCAGGATACTCAGATCAGTTCTTTATTACTTGCCATGGGTGATGATGCTGAGTATAT